TCCAAACATTTTATCAAGCACAATAAAGATCCTCGTTTACTAAAATGTATTGGTATAAAAAAGTGTTCTACCTCATGGCGTGGAGGAGATATAAAAAAGGAACTTGGAAAAATTGAAATGGAGTGGGTGTATAACCTTAAGACCCTTATACCCCATGGTCTAAATGCAGATTTCGATTTACATAATTTTTTATGAAATCTCTTTTATGAATATTTGTGTATATTTGTTTTAATTCTGCTGTTTTATCTAATATTGTCAACATTGTTACTTTTATATCATTTTTATTGTTATTAATTTTTAATAACTGTCTCTTTTTTTTTTTTTAAATTGGTTTATTCATTTTAATACACTTTTCCTATTAACAAGTGTATCCTCTATTTTGCCATTCTCAATATGGCTGTTTTCATACCTTCCCAACATGCCCGTACCCTTAATAGCTTATATTCCTATTCCCCTCCTTATTTGGTCTCTTGGCCGCCATTTGCGGCCATATACTACATATCCCATGTTACCGTTCGGCACTTCCGGTACGCGGAAGTGCCAAAAATTAAACTGACCTTTTTTAAAATTCTCCCCCCCCTGTTTTCACTTCCAACCCCTTACAGCTCATACCCCCATTCCCCTCCTTATTTGGTCCCTCGGCCGCCACTTGCGGCCATAAACTACATACCCCATGCTGCCGTTCGGCACTTCCGGTACGCGGAAGTGCCGAAAATCACGTGACCGTTTTAAATCTCTAATTTTTATACTTTCCCCCCCTCGTTTTTATTCTTAATAGATTTTAAATAAGTCAGGACACTTTAGTATGTTGTATAGTATATTCATTTTAAAGTTTTGAGCCTGCTTATTATTTGTGTGTTTTGATTGGTTGCTCTAATTTTTGGCGTCAAAATTCAAATTATTTGTGTCTTATATAACCCTTATGTGCCAGGTAGTAAATGTTATTCCATTTGATAAAGTCTTTCTTGACGAAACGCATTATGAATATTTGAATATTGTGTTTTTTATATATTAAAGTATTTTTGGTCATTTGCTTGTGCCAATTATCTTTTTTATAGACACATATCTTTTTTTTTTACCCTGGCCTTTTTACTGTTAATTTTATTATTTTATTGGTTTTAAAACAAACCTAAAAATTCCTGGAAGTTTCCTGTACCCAAAGAAATCCGTAGGTGGGGATCAATCCACCCAAGCTATCACCAAAGAGCAGTGGGTCTGCTCTTATTTTGTAAGTACATTTCTTTTATTATTTTATTATTATTCGCCATACAGTGAGCACTATTGGCTGTTTGTTTTATCCCGAGAATTGGATACCATTCACGGAGAAGAACCTGCTTATATCCCACAAGCGGGGATTAAACCGCTGTACGCGCTTTACTCCAGAGCTGGACATTAGCTCTGGTAAATGTGAGTTTTATACTATTATTTTTACGTCTATACCTGAATTTTACATACTACACCATTGGATGTCCCTTCTCCCTCTTTTTATTTTTCATAACGAGTAAAGCCACCACATAAATAGAAGACCCCATCAACCAAAGATACCTGTAAGAATATACCAGTTGGACTTTCTCTCTTTTCTTCCTTTTATTGGACTTTATTCATGTGCGCAGCCTTTTATTGTTTTTACTTTATCCTGTTTTAGAAAGGGTTTGAGGGATTCCCTTTTTAAGGTTGCTGCCATAAGTTATTTTAGCGCTGTCTCATTCCTCCTACTTCCTATTTTTTAAGGTATGTTTCTTTCTTTGATAGTTTTATTTTTTTCACTTACCTGGGAGAGGGAAACATGTCTGTAAAGAGTTACTCTAACCAAAGATACTGTTTGGAGTAACCCTAAAACAATTATAGTATGGATAAGTAAAGATAAAGAATTATAGAAACAGAAACAATATACAGTAGATATTAATGTTGCACATCTGTTATATTCCCATATAGGAGAGCAGATACAGATTTTAGTAATTGTGAATACAAATGTATACACAGAAACAAGTGGTCAAAGACAATAAACTATAAGATGCAAAACAGCACATAAAATACAGAAAATAATACTAAATCTTTTTGAAACATCTGTTAAGATCATGAAGAACTCAGAGGATGAAATGTTCAAACATTGTATTCTTTGGCAGATTATTTGCTTGCACTTTAATATCTTCTAGGTAATGATAAGAGTCTGAGTTAATACAGCCACCTACCTGTGATATATACGGAGAAAAAAAGGACTTTTTCGTTTTGGAACAACCAATATAAAAGGAATTCTTTAGAACACGTCTGAGCTATGGTGTCCTCAATGCATTTAAATGGCTCAGCACATCAGTCAGTCTGGGGGCACTAATTGTGGCCGAGTTCTCCATTCCGATCTCCCTTTGAGTGCTGCATGCAGCTCATGTGTCAGTCTGGGAACATTAAATATAGTCCTAGCTTACAGAAAGACACCAACTGATACCTGGGTCTCCGTGATGTGAGCAGGGATATAAAATCAACTGTCAGCATGGGGCCACTAATTCTAATACCAGCTGACAAAGGAGAGCCCAGGTAAACAAATGATACCCGCGGGAACATCACTGGGTACATTACCACTCAGACAGCCCCTACTGATAATCAACCTAATGTGACTCACCTTTACAACTACATTTTTAATTGTTAATGAGTGCAATATGTAAATTAATAAATGTGTTAGAGAGTGTGTTAAAGCATTGCTTTCAATGCTTCTCTATGAGTACCATTGCTGGAGGCCCTCGGTAATTGCTACATGTATCCCAATGTTTCTCTATGAGAAAGAAATATTGTAATGGATAGGAGATCATCACAAGTGATGATCTCTCAGAGATGGAGCAGAAAAGTGGTGACAAGATGGCTCACTGCTGCATAAAAGGTAAGAATTTTTTTTTTTAGGGAAATGGTGGAGACCCTACATCTAAAACTACAATGGAGCTCTCCAATGTTACAAATAAATATATTTTTGTAATGGTGTGGTATTCCTTTAACAGCCTTATTAGATTTGCAAAAATCAGAGGCTTGCTAGAGAAATAAACAAATAACTGTGTATTGCTACTGGAACTGGGAAATACAGTAAGAATAACACAAGCAAGCTTGCGAGAGCTTGAAATATAAGATAATATTATTTATTCAACTTTCCAGTTCCCACAGGTCAATCAAAGATTTGGAAGGAAGTAGAGAGACATGGAATAAATAATATTTTGTCTATTCTATTTTCTGTGTGGCTGAATTGTATAATATGTGCAAATGTGTATTTGTATGTGCTTGTAGCAGCTCGGACTAGAAATGTACATTTTTTTGCTGTGCAAATACTTCAGTGTATCAGGATTCTCGAATATGTACTTTTGAGCCTTTGCTCTGTTGTGTTGAATGCATCAGGTTAATTTGTCAGTTCATTGAACCTTAGGCTGTGTTCTCTTTTTTCTATTTTCAGCAGACAATAAGAAAAAAATAACTAGTAACTTTCTGCAGTAGATACATATCGATTTTAATTGCTATTTAACTCATATGAATTAAAAGTGGTATACAGTATATAGAAATATGTTGGTTTTGGAGATTTTTTTGAGTGTGCTTCCCTCTAGTGTTCATTTTATAAAAATACACTTTAAAGTGTTATTATATATTCTGTATATACACACACGGACACATATGTATATTAGACCCAGTTAAAAAAAAATAATAAGTCTGGCTTGTCCGGCTTGTCTGAATATCGTTCATGCAAAATACTCAGAAAATATTCAGATAAACTAAAATGGCAGAGATAAAAATTGCCTATTAGTGTGTTGCATTACAAAAATGGCTTACAATTAAACTTAATGGCTAATCGATATCAGGCATTTTCACAATGCCAATTCGGAGTTGTCAGCATTATGTTGTTATTATATATCTAAATTTAAAATAAAGTAAGTTAGAGAACATTTTATAATTATTGATTATTTCCTGTTTGTAATTTTGTGAGAGAGCAGTGGCAGTGGGTCACATTTTATGTAATAGATTGCAATAGTTAACTACTTGCAATACGTTTTTTGCCCTTGCCACCTGAGAAATTCCTTATACACCTCAAAGTACCGACAAGCATTTAGATATTGCATTCATGCAAGTACTCAAAGTCTACAATTGTAGAACTGACTGATCGCTTTAAGCCATGACACTATCATCCAAAAGCCCTCACCATAGCAACACAATATGGTCTCAATATGGTGAGTGGCACATCATTTTCCAATCCCGAGCATGGTACTGGTATTCCAATTCACACTTCATCACTTGCACTAATGATCATGTCATTTATTTGATAAATTGCCCCTGCAGATTGTCCTATGTGGGCAAAATTGACTTAACCATATGAGACCATATTTGAGAACATTAAACATTACTATAGCCTACACTGTAGGCCCTATGTAGATAGTAAAACAGACAAACTGGTTGCCAAACAATAGAGGTCTCCCAAGGCAACCATATAAGAACCAATTTGTCTGAGCTACCATGACAGGAGGCAAAGAACAGCTCCACCAATTTAATCTTCTCAGCCTTTTCAGGGTTTACAATCTCTTAACATGCTCATCATTCGTACTCATCAATACTTAGAAAAAATACACAAAGGCTAATTAAATGAACCAGTAACAAGAACTATAAATACCTAACTACCACCCGGAGGGATGAGAAAGCATACATATACTATCTAAAATATATATATATATATATATATATATATATATACACACAGTATCTTATAATAATATTTTAAAATATTTTATTATATCTTTTCATGTGAACACTGAAGAAATGACACTCTGCTACAATGTAAAGTAGTAAATGTACAGCCTGTATAACAGTGTAAATTTGCTGTCTCCTCAAAATAACTCAACACACAGCCATTAATGTCTAAACCATTGGCAACAAAAGTGAGTACAGCCCTAAGTGGAAATGTCCAAATTGGGTCCAATTAGCCATCTTCCCTCCCAGGTGTCATGTGACTCATTAGTGTTACAAAGTCTCAAGTGTGAATGGGGAGCAGGTTTGTTAAATTTGGTGTTATCGCTCTCACACTCTCTCATACTGGTCACTCGAAGTTAAACATGGCACCTCATGACAAAGAACTCTCTGAGGATCTGAAAAAAAGAATTGTTGCTCTACATAAAGATGGCCTAGGCTATAAGAAGATTGCCAAGACCCTGAAACTGAGCTGCAGCACGGTGGGCAACACCATACAGCGGTTTCACAGGACAAGTTCCACTCAGAACAGGCGTCGCCATGGTCGACCAAAGAAGTTGAGTGCACGTGCTCAGCGCCATATCCAGAGGTTGTCTTTGGGAAATAGATGTATAGAGTGCTGCCAGCATTGCTGCAGAGGTTGAAGGGGTGGGGGCTAGCCTTTCAGTGCTCAGACCATACACTGTACACTGCATCAAATTGGTCTGTATGGCTGTCGTCCCAGAAGGAAGCCTCTTCTAAAGATGATGCACAAGAAAGCCTGCAAACAGTTTGCTGAAGACAAGCAAACTAAGGGCATAGATTACTGGAACCATTTTGTGTTGTCCGATGAGAACAAGATAAACCTATTTGGTTCAGATGGTGTCAAGCGTGTGTGGCGGCTGAGGAGTAGAAAGACAAGTGTGTCTTGCCTACAGTCAAGCATGGTGATAGGAGTGTCATGGTCTGGGCCTGCATGAGTGCTGCCGGCACTGGGGAGCTACAGTTCATTGAGGGAGCCATGAATACCAACATGTACTGTAACATACTGAGGCAGAGCATGATCCTCTCCCTTCGGAGACAGGGCCGCAGGGCAGTATTACAACATGATAACGAACCCAAACACACCTCCAAAACGATCACTGCCTTGCTAAAGAAGCTGCAGGTAAAGGTGATGGACTGGCCAATCATGTCTCCAGACCTAAACCCTATAGAGCATCTGTGGGGCATCTTTAAACAGAAGGTGGGGGAGCACAAGGTCTCTAACATCCACCAGCTCCATGATGTCATCATGGAGGAGTGGAAGAGGACTCCAGTGGCAACCTGTGAAGCTCTAGTAAACTCCATGTCCATGAGGGTTAAGGCAGTGCTGAAAAATAACAGTGGTCACACAAAATAGTGATACTTTTGGCCCAATTTGGACATTTCCACTTAGGCGTTTAGACATTAATGGCTGTGTGTTGAGTTATTTTGAGGGGACAGCAAATTTACACTGTTATACAGGCTGTATACTTACTACTTTACATTGTAGCAGAGTGTTATTTCTTCAGTGTTGTGACATGAAATGATATAATAAAATATTTGCAAAAATGTGAGGGGTGTACTCACATCTACCATAAAGCCTGGGAGTCTGAGGGTTCTGCACAATATCTAAGCTGTTCCTAGAACTACACTCATCTTTACAGTGATCTCAGATGTCCCACCTAGAATCTGCTGAAGCCATTTCCCCAACTTGTGGATCACAGCCCCGAGTGCTCATATCACAACTTGGACTACTATTGCCTTCACATTCTACATCCTTTCTAACTCATCTATGAGTCTTTGGTGTTTGTCCACCTTTTCATATTCCTTCTTCCTTATATTATGGTCACTGATTTCCACATCCACCACTGCAGTCTTCCATTTCTTGTCTACCACCACATTCCTTGTCTGTGTGGATCTGAGAGTCCCACAGGATCTTAGCCCTGTCCTCAACTACCCTTTGTGATATCTTCCATCCCATATTCTGTTTAGATATTTCTGTACAGAATCCCAGAAACTTGGTTGTGTCTCTCAGTATATTCTGTCCCTGCATTATCTTGCTACTCTGTGCTGGATTGTCTCAGAGGCCTATTTGTGCAGTCTGCACAGTGGGTCCTGTCTGGTGTGATAGACTCCCACTTTTATTGATCTGGTGCTGAGTGCCTGTTCCAGTGCTGCTAGGATTAGTGTCTCAGTGCTGTCTTTCAGTCCTGTATTTTCCAACCATTGGTAGATTTTTTTAATGTGAACAACAACTAAGTGTCACAACTGGAGTGTGTGTGTGTGTGTGTGTGTGTGTTCAAGGGACATGATGTGAGACGCTGAGTGGGCAGAGCATCAGGGCATCAGCGGGAGTTACCCTCATCCCGACTGAAATTTGCTCCAGAGCGTCCTACCTTCCCTGGGGTATCTGATCCCATAAAAATGGTCTTTCTGCTTTGGCAGCCTCCCTGACCCCCATAAACCTGCCTTCTAAGCAGCGGCCCTTAACAGCCTTGATGAAACGGAGAAAAGGGGAAAGTCATGTGTATGGCTTGTAGAAAGCGGCCATTGCCGACAGCCATGAGGGTTTTCCCACAGTGCAGGATCAAAGAGAGATAAGCAACTAATTCCCTCGCTGGAGGATTAACACGCACGGGCATAATACAAAAACTCAGAACACTGCACCATATATTAGTACCTCATATTAGTACCATAATGTGCTCTCACTTGTTAAGGATTAAAGAGGAGTGAACTTACTTTGAACTATCTTTTCAAATAGCTCTTGGACGGGATAAAAGAAATGAGGTGAAGAAAGAGTGGGAGTGAAGGTAAAGGAGAGACGGAAAGAAGGGAAAGAGAAAAGAGAAAGGAAAGGAAGAAAGGAAGATTTCCCTTTGGTGTCATTAAAAGTCTCTTCAGATTATATCTAAAAGTGCTATAAGTGCAAAATAAGGAACAACTTAGCTGTGCTCTATTTGGAGGAATATACTTTAACCCCTGTAGGACATGTCATGATTCCCTTTTATTCCAGAAGTTTGGTCCTTAAGGGGTTAAAATCTCATTTGCTGTGGCATTTTTTTTTCTAACTTTGGGGCTGGATTGCTAAAATGCACAGTGTCAAGTAGTGAAAAATAAGATAAAGCTGCAGATCTGTACAATTAAAAATAAAAAAGGAAGAGGAGACAGGAATTTAAGATTTTAAAGGAACAAGGAGTACGCAGAGAAAGATAATATGTCTCTAAAAAAAAATAATAGGACCAAGCAAATGTTCAAAAAGGACAAAAAGCCAGATGGTCATTCCATGAAAGATAAAACATTAGTATCAATGTTTTCCTCTCACAATTCAAGATCACTGGAGAAAATTGACAGCTCAATGAGTACTGAATCAAATATGTCCTTAGTTCAAGAAGTAGATGTCTCTTTAACTAATATAAACCCACAAGATGCACACATTATTGAGGAAAATCTCAAAAAGATTTTAAAGCTGCAGTATATGCAATTGAAAGAGGACTTAGTCCTAAGTTTCCAACAAGGCCTAGAAAATGAACTTGAGCAAATAAAAGAAGACCTAAGTGAACGATTCAGATACATAAAAGAAGAGCTACTAAATCTGGGAGAAAAAGTCCAAATAAATGAAACAAATATATCTAAAATATCACTGGATTCAGAATCCAATGAACAGATAAAGAAATATAAAAATGACCTGGCTGTATTGGAAAACAAGGTTATTGACACTGAAGATCACGCAAGAAGGAAGGACTTACGAATAAGAGGGATTCCAGAAGACATAGTCAAGCCAGCTGGAAACTTATCTGATGGATTTCATAGCATCAATAATACCACAAGAATCTGAAAACTCAAATATCATCGAAAGGGCACACAGGGTATTTAAACACAAAAATATTCCTAAAGCACAAGCAAGAGATGTTATCTGTTTTTCATCTTTCAAAATACGGCAGAATATCCTTTCTGGTTCAAAATATCTGAACACTGCAGACTTAAATTTTCTTCTAGGATTTATCTATGGAAACAAGATCAAAAATATAATCCTTCAAATTCATTACTGACATTTTAAGAAGCAAAAAGAAAAAATATATCTGGGGCTATATCCCCGTGAAGATCTTTATTCATCTAGACGATATCATTCACATTATTCGGGACATTGATGAGTTTAAAAAATGGATAGAGATACATTTGAAGGATGCCATAGTGAACTTCTAAAGATAGAGTTGCTAACAAGTAGGGGATGGAGAAATAGAGGGTAGGACAGAATGAAGCACGGGAGTATGGAGGCGGAATATTTTTAATTTGTTAAACATATATAGAGAATATAGAGAATTTACCCTTTTTTCATTTTTTTTTCTCTTTTTTTGTTGTTTGTTTTTGTTATTTCTCTCTTGTCACATCCTGTTCCTAGCTGCGGATCATTCTGGCAATGACTTCTGGTATCCAGTACTCTTTTTACAATTCTTATTTAGTTTTTCTTGTTTTTTTTGGTTTTCTATTCTATGTCTGGTTTTCTTCATGCTGGGATTTCTGAGTTCATTCCTGTATTCCGTCCCTGGAATTCCCAGTCTCTTGGATTCATTTAAATGTTTGTTTTATGTTGCCACACCCGTTTGTTTTCCAACATTCCTTTTGTTTCAGTGTTCCTGCAGGCAGCTGCTCAAGTCTTCTGCCCTTTCTTGCAGGTAAGTACTATGTGTGTTTTCTTTGGTTGGTTTAGCATACATTAGGCAGTGTAGGACCTGCCGAATATGGGGTACATTGGCGTTGTGGCAGGCCTATGCAATGTATGATCATATAATGTAAATAAATCCCCATGATTTTCATATATAGTACTTGGTTATTTCTCCTCTTGTTTTGCCTATCATATCTTGTCTTGTTTTAGTTTGTACACCCAGTCCATGTACAGTCCTGTCCTGTCCTGCCCCTGTGTAGTTAATGTTCCCTTATGTATTGTGTACATGTTCTGGGTTTAGCTTACTATCCTTCTCTGGTTCTGGGTTCTATTAGTTCTGTCTTGTTTTCATGTTTAGTGCCTATCTATAGTCTTGCCTTGTTTCTGTACTGGATACATTCTTGCTGCAGAGCCTCCCTATTCAGCTCTGGGTGGTCAGCTTCCTGCATTCCTGCACCTAGTTCCTGGGATCCGCATAAGTTGCATCAGGGTTCTGGTATGTGGCTGCACAAATGCTGGTGCTCAACACCAGGGGGCGTGCGGTTACCCTGCACCAGACCCTGCTAATCCACTTCCACACTGTGACTCCTACTCTGAACATCAGGCATACTGGGTCCGGTCCGCACACCTCCCCCAGAACAGTGTCTGGGTCCCGGGCACCGGACCGCCACCCTGACATCTCTTCAATCTAGTCACTTAAGTTTTATGAAAAATAGTATACCTACCAAAGGAGGTTACAGGTATTAACACGGTAGAAAGTTATTGAAATTAAAGTATAAACACATACACAAAGGAAGGTTTAAATTGAATATTGAAATAATGAGAACCTTGTAAAATGTTATAAGTAATAGCTTCACATCACAGTGGGTGAGTTGAGTATCAACATACGTAACTTAAATATTTATAAATGCACTACGAATTAACTTTGATTTGTTTTTTTCACAACATGAATT